CGATATTTATTTTACCGAAGTTCGGACTCGTTCGAGTCCTACTCTCCGTTGAGGGGGCTGTGGGCGACCCAGCGAAGGTCAGCCCTAGAGGGTACCACGAAGGTCACTCTAGCCGGAGTCTTTTCCAACTCTTTTTTCTCCTTCTACTAGTTGATTCCGAGGCAGCGGAATCAACCGTTACAAACTTTCTGAGGCACACCACAATCTCTCGGGTGCTCTCTGACGACGCCTAACCATCTAGGACCGAAGAGTCCAAGAGTAATAAATGCGAATCACGAGATTGACAATATGCACAAGTGCTCAAGTGGTTGCTTGCTCTCTTTTTCAAATTCTCTCTTAACCCACAAATTGATTTGGCAAGTTTGATCAATCACTCACTAAGAGAGGGTTGGGAGAGTTGGCAAGGCTCAAAAACATGTGTCTATGTCAGCAGAATCAGCAGCCTCCAAAGGTGGAGGCTTGGGGTATTTATAGCCCTCTTTGGAAAACTAGCCGTTTTATAGCCGTTGCAATACCGGACACGTCCGGTATGCATACCGGACATGTCCGGTATGACTTACACTGCGCCAACGGTAACTAAGTTACAGTGAAGTTGTGAGGCGTTGGAACTCCCGATGAATGCCGAAACTTCCGATCGTCGGCACATTTGAAAACATCGTAACTGAGTTAAAGTGTGTGAGGTGTCGGAACTCCCGACGTATGTCGAAACTTCCGACCGTCGGAACTCATGATTTATGTCGGAACTCCCGACCCTCACTGCATTTGAAAATTAGCCGTTGGCCTCTGGTCGTCCATACCGGACAACCGGACACGTCCGGTATGACCACCACAGTGAATACTCTATTTTAGTAAAATTGTGAGACGGACCTTTGCCGGAACTCCCGACGAACCAACCCAAGAACAATAATTTTACAACTGCTGGGTGAATATCGGACACGTCCGGTATTGCTAGACCAGCAAAAACAAAGTAAGTTCTTTTGTTGCTCAAATACTCAAAACTCACATGGGTTGGCTTGAGCACTTATGTAGCATTATCTATCAACATGATGCATCCCTCTTAATAGTACGACATTCCTATTAACTTAAATTCAAATGTATAACGAATTTAAACCTTTTGAGTTGTTCTCTTTCAACCGAAGCCGTGTATTCCAAACTTCATCAAGTGAGGGTGCTAACATGTCAACTTTGATCTTTTTCACTTGAGCATAGCCATCTTGAGCACATGACTTGATTCCATTCATCAAATTTTGAATAATCCAAGTGTATCAAGTCACTTCCATCAAACACTCCAACAGTGATTTGATCCTTCACATAAACATGGCCATCATAGCTTGATTAGTACCTCAACTAAATACAAGTATTTCCTTCTTCACCCTAGCTAGGTTCTTCGGCTGTCAAGCCGTCACTTGCCCTTCACCCTTGCTTAGTACCTCGAAGCCTTTCCTTACTATCTTCACCATCTCTAGCCATCAAGTCACATCTTGTGTTGAATCATTCATTCATGTATTGTTATCTTTTTCATTTCAATTTTAGCAAGCTTCAAATATGAGACCATTCCATATGCAAACCCTTATGTCTCATTAATTAATTCTCACAAGCTTGCTTTTACATAGTACATGAAAATCCCACAATAAACAAGCCTTTGCATGAATTCCAGTTGTATTGTTGTCTTGTGCTTGAACTAGATTGTTTATACAACAACACATCATTTTGACTTTCATTAAGTACCTGTGAGATAACCTATTACCTATCCACACTTAGCAAACGGGTTAGACCTTTAATCACGTTGTCATTCAATCATCCAAAACCCACTGAAGGGCTAGATGCACTTTCATCTACCTCTGGTTGGTTCTCTTTCTCCCATCTGTAATCCTTGCTTTCTCTTGGTCTATAAAAGGAAGAGTAGGAACCCCACTAAGGGGACGGATCAATTTCACACACAACACACAGCCAAGCAGCAACCGAGCTCTTGGCATCCTTTCGACATTTTCATCAGAGACTTGGGACCTGTCCCTCTCTCGACCGTTTGTACCCCCTACTACGAACCTTTTTTCAGTGCTAATAACACGAGCAGCAGCAAAGTGGACGTAGAGACACTCTGCCCGAACTAGTATAAACCTTGTGTCCTTTAGTACACCATCCGGGGCCTAACGCGCAATAAATATAAATTTACTAGTTGGTGTTTATTCGAAACACCGACACATATGTTATTCACATGTCAAAGAGCCAAAGCAGTCTCGACAACTTTAGGCATATGGAGCAAGGTGGAGACCTTGAGGGTAGACAGATCGAGATCCATTGTAATCCAAGAAGTTTTGAGAATTGGTGGCACTTTACCAAACATAAATGGTACGGGTTTTGCGGAGCTCGTTCTTTTTGGTGGATGGTATATATGGTGGGAACGGAGGAAAGTCATACATGGAGAAAGTAAAAAAGGCTTTGAAGATAGGCTATGTCCATCGCAACAATGGTGAACAATTTTACGAAGGCAAGAGAAGAATCCGAACCTAAGAGAGGGATGGAAAAAACACCGGAGGGCAAACTTATGGTGAACGTGGATGCAGTGTTTGATGCAAACTCCAGAACAAGAAGTGCGGGAGTGATAACCAGGATGTGGGTGGAGGTTGTATTGAAGCAAATCACGGCTTTCTGGTGCATGTAGTAGACGCAACAATGACGGAGGCGTATGCACTAAAGACAGGTCTACAGCTAGCAGAACATATTGGTAGCAATAGCTTCATAGTTCAATCAGACTGCGTGCAGATCGTTGACACTATGAAAGATGATGGTTTCTCGGCAACATCAGCAGCAACAATCTACGACGAGTGCATGGCGCCTTGGATAGGTCTCGGTAATGCTAGCATTGAACACTGCTACAGAGAAGCTAATAGGGTGGCGCCTGAGCTAGCTAGGAGATGTTTTGATACAAAACAAGATTATATATGGGTCATTGAAACTCCTAGATTTAGTTTGAACTCTTTAGCTTTTGATATAATGGTGTTTGCACATTAAAAAAGTGCGCCGGATGGCTTTAATAAAAAAAGATTATTCTATCTTACTAAAAAAAATACTTGACACATTTGGCTGTACATGATCTTCGATGTGTATATTTAACCACTAATTTCTTCTAGGATATGTTCTTGAATTCCTTTAAATCAGTGAGAGTTTTTAAGTGCATTTGAATACAAATATACACACATAACAACATGTTTCCAAACTTAATAATTTAATATTATTTAAGTTTGTAGTTTCTAATTTTTTTACCACATGTTGTTCTAAACGACATGTTTTATGGATGGAGGGAGTATTTGTTAAGCTGGCTAGGCCGCTAATGTATGATGCATGGATAAAAAATGTTTGAAGACGTGTAGATATATACTCCCTTTGTTTCAAATTTTATAGCTTATTTTAGCTTTGTATCAAACTTCCTTGGCTTTAATTGTGGTTACGGATAACTTAATAACATTATTTTAACTTATAGATATTAAATTAACATGTTCATATTATACAAGATATGTTTTATAGATAATTTAATTAAACCAATACATGGATATTGATATATTTACATTATAAAAACTTTGTTTAAGTTAGAAATTTGGATTTATTTATAATAAAAAAAGTGAGCTACAATTTAGAACGAAGGTTACATACATATCATACTTGTTATACATAGAGTTAAACACCCTCCAAAATATAGTTATGTCCTGTTCGGAATACAAGAACTTTTTTCTATTCTTATGTTTTTTTCGGTGAATGAAATTAAATTGATTTAAATTTTATGTGAATTAAACTGATTTTATAAAATTCCTATATGATACCTGTAAAATTCATGTGTTTTCGAATTATTTGAATCGTACTAGGTTCGTGCCCGTGCGTTGCTACGGGTTTAAAAATCCATATTTTCTAATATTTCAAAAGATCAAGTGGTAACTCTAATTGCCAAAAATAAATAATATAATCTCATAACTTTATTTTCAAAAGCCATTACTCATACATTTTTGCTATTTTGCAAGGTAGCAAGAAAAAAAAGCAGCTTTGCAAATCTGTAGCATGTATGGTGCTTGTCATGCTTCCACTCAAGTTGGTGCTTCCATCTTGCAATTACAAACATACATTCTGGGAGCATCATATCTATACAATTGTCTAGTCGTCACATGGACATATTCAGCGCTCATAGTCCAAACAACAAGAGTCAAATTCACAATTGGTGTATATATTCAATGTCCACCTTCTCAAAGACAACATTAAAATATTCAATGTCCAACGTATATTCTGAATATTGTAAATTTCACTGTACAAACAACAAAAATTGCAATCAACATTCTTAGATTGAAACAACAATCAACAGTCACAAATTGACAAATGCATTCAATCATTAAAGTCAATATTGAGATAAAATCTCAATTCAACAATAAGTTACAACTTTTCTGTTCTGAAGCTTGGCTTCTCAAACTATTGATGCCGCCCTCCTCCAGAAGCCATATGTTGTGGCCGCCCTTGCTCCTGCAGTTGTGTGGTAGCTGTGGCCTTGCTAGCAGCGGTTTACATCCCTCCTGGGGCCGGGGCCCATCGAATCAAGAGCCCTCTTACTGTAAGCTCACACTTGGCATTGCCTCACCACCTTCTCTGTACACAAAATGTTTTCGAAACAAACTAATACAGAGTAGCAGCAAAGGAGGAGCAATGTGGATGGGAAATATTGATGTAAAGTTGTATGCCAAGACTGTAGAGCTACAGGTTGAAGCCATGCCAATCAGTAAATTCTGAAGCTACTCAAACATCATAGTATACTATGTTCAGTACCTACTCAAAACATATATATGTGACTGATCATTTCATCAGATCATTTTGAAGTTTGAAGCAAGGAATCAAATGTCCTGGCAACATGGAAGTTCTCAGTTCCAAGCATTTTTTTGTTCATATGCAAAAAAGCTCACAAATGAAGCTAGCAACTCAGAAATCTAGTTCAGTTAGAAATTCGACATGGCTCTAGTGACCAATCAGACTTCCTGAAACATTAAGCTGAAATTTTTCATTTAGAGTTGACAGTTGCTAGACTTCAGCAGCAGTAGCGAGGACCACAGGGAACATATTCCTTCCTTCTTACCTCCATCTTAATTTGTTGCTCCCCCCTCTCTGATCTGATCGATGGCAGTTCCAAGGACCAGGGCAACACAACTCCAAAGTGGCATATAGTAGTACCTGTAACCAAGGTACGCCTGCTGCTGCAACCAAAAAAAGCAGGAACCAAGAAAAATCAGATGCGTCATCTAGAACCAAGAAGATTTTGAGCAGATGGAGCTCATGCTAACTAAAATTAAGATTTATTATTTATGTCAACTTTGTTAGTATTAGGTAGTTCTGTAGGTGTACTGTTGTTGACTTGTTGGTCCTAAAACTGAATGGCTAGCCATTTGCTACCGTTCTTTCCAGGTTCCATTAATGGTTATAAGTGAGTAGCATCACATGAATTGCTATAGGAATACGAGAAGCAGTGTTCTGTGCAGGAGCAAACTGAAGAAACAATCGAGTCTAACCCGCTCAGCTGTGCCCTCTACAAACCACAGTAACCAGACCAAACCGGCCATTGCCGGGCTGGGTTGAAAAACCAACAAATCAATGCAAACCATGAGTGGACAGGGCGGTCTATATTCTATAAAGAAATTAAATGTCTCATCATACAACAAAACTATGATTGATTTTGCAGAGTCCAATTAACAGGGAGCAATGAATCATAGATAACATACACAAACGAAGTCATCAATACCATTTTAGACATGAAAATATTGCTCGAGCCATAGAGTGTAAGTTAAATAAACAAGAAAAGGGTTTGTTTACCTCTTCCTGTAAATCTTTATTTTATTCAATTCTAATCCAATTAATCCAACCATACGAAACAACAAGTTTCAAGTTCATTGGCTGCTGTCCCCTCTCATTCTCAGTGGCCAACCACACAAATCACTTGATTTCAGTTAACAACTTGAGCAGTCTAGAAGTCTGACATAACTAAATTCAAGGGATGTCTAGTAAAGCTAAATATCACCCATAAGACCATAATCTGCATAAAAGTGAATGTAGCCACAACATAAAAAGTCATACCTGACAGAGGAAAAACAAAGGCAAGCATAACAGAATCCTCGTCAATATGATTTTTTGACTACTGACCAAAGAAAACAGAAATGTTTTGTTAATTATTAAGTATTCTAGTTAGTACCATACATTAGTAGCAACCTACTGTGGACTATCATATTAACAAATCAAGAGCAGTGAAATATACTATATCGTTGTGTGAATGGTTAATTGTTAAAAGCCAGCCAAGCCATGCACTCACGCTGTGCCAGGATAGATACAGTCACTAATATCAATCTTTGGGCTCATCCTTCTTTGACAATGGTGAGCACTTGAACTCTCTGATCCAGCCTTCTTAATTGACAAGGTTCGCAGCATGTACACAACCTTCGACTTCACTTTCTCGGTGCCTGCATCCTTGGTTGGTTCCTGACACCGCTGCATCTGTCTCACCAGTCCCCTGAGTGCTCCTCGCCTCTACAACAACCACTGGCACCATATACAGATTGATAGAGTGGCCCCTCTCAATCTTACTGTCATCTCTCGTCTTCTCCTCCTCCATTGCTTTCGAAGATTAACTCCTACTAACTCCGGTTCCTCCATCTGATATGGGGATAAATAACTCCCAGAACCCTGGCTATCTATTCAACAATCTATCCACAAACTATCAGCAAGAAAGGGGATGGAAAAACATTATTACAAACAAAAATCACATATTTAGATCCAGAGAAGCAAAGAACAAACCACAAAGTTACCTGTAATCCAAAATCAGAGAAACCAAGGAAGCGCTTGGCTGCTGCTCCTTCTTGGTCGTCGCCACTCGGGACCAACGCCGAGATGCTCACGGCCGTAGCGCCGCCCCCACTTGCAGGTGCTGCAGGATCCGGTAATGGGGGCAACCGGCAACGGCAACATGATTCCTTCCTATCCATCTCCTCTCCTCTGTCTTCTACCCCATTGATCCATCGACGAGGAAGGGACTGCTCCTAACCCGTTGTGGATCCGCAACGAGCAAGACAAGCGGGGTGGATGCCGATCCGGTCGGTTGCCGCCTGCAGTTTGCCTCCCAGTCCCAGATTGTGGCAACCGAGCGGGACAGAGAAGAGAGGGGCGGGGCATGGTGGCCAGGCGGTGCCACAGCATGACGGCCAGGCACGAGGCAAAGCGGGCGGCGACAGATGGAGAGGTGACGGATGGGGAGGGCCGGAGGGGAGAGCGAGGCGAGGTGGGCGACGTGCTCCGAGGCGCCTGGCCCACATGTCGGCGCAAATGGGAGTTACAGGGGTGAGATAGCGCAGCGGCTTCACCATGGCCGGTGGACCATGGCTCTTCCTATTTTTTAGCTGTATATATAATAGATAGAGAAGAGATTGTGCAGTTCACACAAAGTGGGTGAAGTCGACTGAAGACAGCACCGAGCGGCGCCGCCCTCCCTTGGGCACATGGGGCCACCTGCTGAGCTCCCAGCAGGCGCAGCGGCGAGGAAACACCGCCAGTCCACCACCACCGTGCCGCCCGCCTCGTGCGCCGGCGTCCAGCCACGTGCGACGTGCGGCAACACAGCCGACCGCACCCGCCGGGCCACGCTCCGAACCCCCCACAAACCAGCCCATGCCGCCCGCTTCTCGCGCCCGGCCATCCGCACCGCCGGCCGCGGGCGTCGCGCCCAGCCACCCGCCCGTGAACCACCACCAGCTCGCCCGGCTGCGGCAACCGCACGAAAGGAACCACCCCCGGCCCCCGCCCCCTCCCTATTTTGCCATGCCGCTCCCCGCCACCGACCCTACCTCCCCCTCTTCTCTCCCCCGGGCCCCCCCGCGGCTCGGCCCGACGCCACCACGATTTTCGCCGCACGGCGCACCCTCGCCACGTCTCGGCTCCACCCACCACGTTGCGGCAAGGGTGCGGCCTACGACGCGGAGTAGGAAGAGGAGAGGGGAGAGGGCGGCCGCGCCGCGGTGTGACCCGGGCCGGCTATGCTGCAGCGCGCGGCGAGCAACGCCTACTCCTGGTGGTGGGCGTCGCACATCCGCACCACCCAGTCCAAGTGGCTTGAAACAACCGTCGGCGGTAAACGGCCACATTTTCACCTGTCATCCCCCGTCGTATGACGAGTTCGTATTGCACATTGCTCAATGATTGTGTCTTTTTCTTTCTTTTACTGCGCAGAGATGGAGGACAGGGTAAAGTCCATGCTCAAGCTCATTGGGGCCGATGGCGATTCGTTCGGCAAGAAGGCAGAGCTCTACTTCAGAAGCCGGCCAGAGCTCATCAATCACGTGGAGGAGATGTTCAGATCCTATCAGGCCCTTGCCGACAGGTTTGACCGGATATCCAGTGAGCTGCATAAGGCCAACCACACCATTGCCACCGTGTTTCCGGACCAGGTGCAGTTCTCAATGCAAGAGGGGGATGGTGAGGGGTTCCCGAAGGCAGTCGGTGGGATTGATCTCAGCAACTTCAAATTCCCTGCGCTGGAAGGCTTGTCCATGGGCTCGCAGAGCGCGAGCAGGGGCACCAGTCCGGTCCCCAAGAGGGGGGCCCAGGCACACCGGAGGGTCACCTCCAACATGACCAAGGAGAAGGCGCAGGAGGAGATAGACAAGCTGCAGAAACAAATCCTGGCACTACAGACTGAGAAAGAGTTCTTGAAGACCTCTTATGACAGTGCACTAGGCAAATATCTAGACATTGAGAAACAGGTGGCCGAGTTGCAGGATGAGGTCTGCAATTTGCAAGATGCTTTCAGCACTGGTGTAGCCATTGAAGACAATGAAGCTCGGGCATTGATGTCTGCACAAGCCATTATGTCGTGTGAGGATATGTTGGTGAACTTGCAGGACCAGAAAAACAGATCGACTGAAGAGGCGAAGGTGGAGCTCCGACGGGCCAATGAGGCAATTGAAAAGCTGAAAAACTTCAAGAATGAATGTGGGCTGCCTCATGCGCAAATGGATGGGCATGATCACCATGAAATAGAACTGGTCCATGCACTGCCCTTCGAGGATGCTGATGATTCTGCTCTGAATGAGGGCAGGCTTGACCTCCAGGAAATATGTCAAAGAGTCAAAGAAATAATTGAATCTTACCCTGAGCTATCAGTTGCAGAATTAGCGGATAAGGTTGATCGACTTGTGGAAAAGGTGATCAACCTTGAACTTGCTACTACTTCACAGAATGCTCAGATCGATAGAATGAAGACTGAGATAGATGGCCTTCATGAGCGCTTGCATGCTTTGGAGCAAGACAAGGTGGCTTTGGTTGTTGATTCTAGTAACATGGCTGACAGGTTGAGGAAAGTTGAAGAAATGCTGCAAGAAGTACAACAAATTTGGAAGTCTGTACAGAATGGGTCCGAGAACATTTGTAAACAAATGACTGAAGCCACCCATGAACTTACTGAATTTGTTGAAACATTACATGCTCCTGAGCAAGAAATCAGTGAGTTCGTGGATTCATTGCGAGACTCCAAAGGTGATGCTTCTCTGGAAGATGACTCAGAACTAACAAGTCTGTCTGTGCAAAACGAGCCATCCAAATCTTTACATGGCACTACAAGTGAAATTGAGAAACATGAAGAAACCTCAGAAGGTCTTGTAGCCCAGAAACAGCTGGTTCCAAAAGAATCCGAAGGTGAGGGTAAGATTGTATTAGAAGATTATGCGTCTGTACTTCAGAGCTACAAAGATACAGAGCAAAAGCTTTCAGAAATTGAGAAGAGAAATCAAGAGTACCATCTTGAGGCAATGTCAGAACTGAAGGAACTTAAGAGTGCCAATGCAACGAAAGATGAGGAGATCCACTCGCTTAGGCGCATGCTAAGTTCTTTGCAGAAAAAGATGAGTGCTTGTATTATTGAGAGTATAGAGAAGTCAGAAGAAACATCCAAGATAAGCGCCAGTCCTACTACAGAAGATAAAGAGATTGCTAAGTCAGAAGAAACATCCAAGATAAGCACCATTCCTACTACAGAAGACAAAGAGATTGCTGAGATAGAGGAATACATTAAGCAATGGCAAGTTGATGACTCACTAGCTTCTTCGGTTGCAGAGGAGAAATTTAGAGTAGAAATTGACAGGGTGTTGGGGGAGAACTTGAACTTCTGGTTGAGGTTTAGCACATCATATCATCAAATACGGAATTTCCAAATATCCTTTGACATGTTGAAAACTGAGATGCACAGATTGACTGATGAACAGGAAGACGGGGGCACCTACGGCTTTGCTGGTAGTTATCAGGTAGCAAAGCTGGAATCAGCAGTACTAGAAAAGAAATTCAGAGATCTAAATACAGATCTTCAAGTTTGGATTGAAAAGAACGTGCTATTGAAAGGAGAGGTAGAGAACAGATTTTCATCACTATGCAGCATACAAGAAGATATATCAAAGATCACAACTCTGGATAAATGTGATGAAGTTCACTTCAACCCTTTTCAAGCTGCAAAATTCCAAGGAGAGGTGCTTAATATGAAACAAGAGAATAACAAAGTTGCTAAGGAGCTAGAAGCTGGGCTGGACCATGTAAGAGGCCTTCAAGTGGAGGTTGGAAGGGTGCTCTTGAAGCTCAGAGAGAATCTCGAGGTATCTATAGCAAGAAGCCACCGAGCCCAACAAAACTTCCGGAACCTGTCAACAAAAGCCGGGGTTCCCCTTAGAACTTTTCTGTTTGGCTCAAAGCCAAAGAGACCATCACTCTTTTCGTGCATGGGTCCTGGGGTGCATAAGCATCACAGTGGTTCAAAGGCTGGGCGTAGATGAGTACTGGCAATGTGTTTTTTGACATTTAATCCTAAAGAGATTTCAGTGTACATGACAATTCATATGTGACAAATGCTCTTAGGCCTTAAATGTAAAAGACCCTCATCTCCTATATCAAATTTGGTTTGTGATTGTCCACTCATTCCTGCTTTGATACGTTGTCGATATGATATTCATTTCGGAATTGAATTTGATGGAAGTATATAATGTATTAATGTGAAATTATTTAAAGTGTTTTAGGGACTGGAAGAACCTCTGTTTGTACCCCTGTTTCTCAATATCTTCAGTTGACAAAAGTACTGAACTGGTGTTGCATTGATGATGAGTACTCAGTTACAAAAATGGTGCTGCAACTGTTTTGTAGTTGACCTACTAAGACAAAGTTACCTCTTGTCGTTTGAACCTTTTGGGATCTTTAATGATGGTGGGAGAGAACATAACTAACAATGTTATGGATAAAATCAAACTCCATATTGTTTGTTCTGGAGCAAAACCTAAACCTTTTTAAAATAATAACTGCTGGTATGCACAATATGGTTACATTTTTCAGTTGGTGAGATTATTTTCAATAGCCATAGAAATGCCTTTTCAGGCAGTACAATCTTGGAGAAGCATAATGGTCCCAACAGCAATCTTACTTTCAGATTGCATTGCATTTTTTCTGTGCATGGTGTCAATAGAATAGCAAGTTGCAAGAGGTGTTGGTTCCAATTTCCATTGAGTTTTTATGATTTTATCTATGTCTGCTAACAAAATTGATTTAATATGATACTTGGTTAATGTAATAAAAAGGTAAGCCAAGTCTCTTATCAAGTCAGGGCATTACTATTTTCTTGAAGAAGGAGGGACATGTCATGGGCGAGCATGGTACAGTGGTAAAGTTTCTCCACTTTAGCCTGGAGCTTTCAACACTGGAAACACTCTTTTTAAGACGGGAAAGATGTAGGACTGCTGCCGCCAGGGCTTTTGTGGAAGGAGGTTGCCAATATCTTACATTAGATGGACTTGATCAGGCATGTTTTATATCAATGCTTTATAGAGAAATAAAATACAACTACCTTTGCTGTTTTTTAATTTCTGAAGATTTTAGTAATTTCTAGGAGATGACATATGAGCTGTCAGTTATCAGATATGACCAGTCCTGTTCTATCCGCAAAGTAGTTACTGTTATCAGCTCCATGCATTGTTTGCTTTATGAGGAACAGTTTTGTTCATTCTTGATCTACCCATAGGCTTTCTCAAAAGCTCTTCTTCTTCCTGAAGTGCTTGGTTCCTATTTCCTACCTTTTTAAAGTCAAACTCAAATTAGGGCTTGATAACTTTTTCCAAATGGTGCATATCTTCTATATGGAGCTCAGGAGCTGCCTTGCAAACATCTATATGAACTATTAATTAACTCTCTACTGACTTCAGCAATACTTGTCATGATTCATGAGTTAAATTTTTTGCTACAGAACTGGAACCTCATTGTACAGAAATGAAGATAATGCCTACCTGTTGACTCCAGAGTCTAGTTGAGGCTCAGTTGCTCAAAGCTCTAGAAGCCAAGAAAGGAGGGTTTGAGTTTTTGTGTTTCCTCCTGACAAGAGTATCAGTATCGAACCACAGTATGTTTGTCTTCTACTCTCTTTTCCTTCTCCATACTGTACTTACTATGTTGTGTTTGTAAGTGGATCATTTTTCTTATTCTTTGGGAAGTCGGGTGGGGAGGCCCCTACCTGTTTTTACTAGAAACATTAAAAAAAAAGTACAAATGCATTTGAATGCATAATTACAGGTGTTGGATTTGCACCAAGTGAAAGAAAGGTTAAAAACATATCAAATGTTACGGCGTGTCTTGGACCTCAGGAAGTAGGAGGAGAATGGATGGCGTGTGAGAATGAACGGCGGCGGCGGACTGGCGGCGCGCGTCTTCGTCGCCGCAGGCCCGACAACAGGAATGCGATGAACAGGACGGCTGGGTGCCCAAGGGGAGAATATCTCCAATCCCAGGCTAAAAATCCTTAATTCCAAATGTTTAGGACTATATAGGTACTGTCCCACACTGCTAACAAACCTGATAACAAATTTCTGAAATCACTCTTGACTTGAACAAACTGGAAATAAACCGAACGCTACGGAGGGAAATCACGCGCGCTGTCCCTCAGCCACTCGCGCTGGGCTGTCCTCTACGGTGATACGTGGTGCCGACCATAACATCTCTTCCCCCTCGGGAAACAGCTCGTCCTCGAGCTGGAACGAAGGATGAGCAGTCGCGGAAACCGTCCACCGGCTCCCATGTGGCCTCCGAGGCTGGCATGTCCGCCCACTTGACGAGGATGTGCCAGACGCCGCGCCGTAGACTGGAGCGGAGAACGCGTTTGGGCAGCAAGAGGGGCCGACCGTGCTGAAGTGGGGGCAATGGCGGTGTAGCAGACGGCGGTGGAGAACCACGGAAGGGCTTGAGAACCCCCACGTGAAACACATCATGGATCCGAGCGCCGTCCGGCAGCCGAAGGCGGTACGCGACCTCGCCGATGCGCTCTAGGACTTGATAGGGACCTGCATATTTAGGACCAAGCTTGCCACGCGCGCCAGCTGTGAGGGACTGTCGATGGAGTAGGCGAAGCCACATCCAGTCCCCCACAGCGAACGTGACGTCCCTGTGGTTGGCGTCGTAGAAGCGGCGCGCATGTTCCTGGGCCTGCTGAAGTCGAGCTCGCACCTCCTCTAGGAATTCGTCGCGGTTAGCGAGCAAGGTTTCGCGGCCTCCTCCTCGCGGCCCGGCTCATAGACGATGAGCGGCGGTGGCCGCCCGTTAGCGAAGCAAAAGGCCAGCGAGGTGTGGTAGGCCGTGTTGTAGCGAAATTTCGCCACGGCGCGGCCCGGCTCATAGGCGGCGAGATGATACACCATAGGTACATCCTAATCGTCTTGTTCACCGCCTCGGACTGGCCGTCCGTCTGCGGGTGGAACGCGGTGCTCATGCGGAGTTGGACCCTGGCCATGCGGAACAAGTCACGCCACACGTGCCCCGTGAACACCGGGTCACGGTCGTTGACGATGGACTCCGGAAATCCGTGGAGACGCACGATGTCGTTGAAGAACGCCCGGGCCACCGAAGTCGCCGTGTACGGGTGGCCTAGAGGGACGAAATGGGCGTACTTCGAGAACCTGTCCACCACTGTTAGTAATACGCTCTTGCCATGTACCTTGGGTAGCGCTTCAACGAAGTCGATGGATATGTCCGCCCATACGCGCGTTGGCACGGGGAGCGGCTGAAGCAAGCCAGCAGGATGTAGCGCTTCGGTCTTGTTCCTTTGGCATGTGGAGCATGCCTGGACGTAGTCGTACGGTACGGCGGGCGTGCCCGATGTAGAAGTCGCCGCGGAGCCGCTGTAGGGTCTTCTGGATGCCCTCATGGGCGACAGTGTGAGCCGCCCGCAGAACGTCGTCGAGGACGGCCTGCTGCTCCGGGATGGCAAGGTGTTCATCGGCCGTGATATCACGCCGCAGCTCGGTGAAGAGGTCGAAGGTGGCCACAGACAGCGCGGACAGAGTCAGCGCGGTCGCATCCGCCTCGGTGTGGCCACTGTAAGCCGTGACCGGCGCGTCGTCGTCGCGGCGCGACAGAGCGTCGGCGACGGTGTTCAGCCGGCCCAGCGTATACTCCACCCTGAAATCGTATCCGAACAACTTACTTATCCAGTGGTGTTGTGGGATCGTCGATAGCCTTTGGTCCAGCATGTACTTGAGGGCGTAGTGATCCGTCCGCACGACGAAGGGGCTGCCCCAAAGATAGGGGCGCCAGTGCCGGACCTCCTGGACAAGGCCGATGAGCTCGCGTTCATAGGCCGCCACCTTGAGATGTCTGGCCGTGAATGGCTTGCTGAAGAAGGCCAAGGGTCCCGCGCGTTGGTGAAGAACGGCGCCGAACCCCGACCCCGACGCGTCGCAGTCAACGATGAACGACGCGTCAAAATCCGGCGGATGGAGCACAAGGGGCGCTGGACAAGGCGTGCTTGAGGGCATCGAACGCGTCTGATGCAGCATCCGTCCACTAGAAGGCATTCTTGCGGAGCAGCTGCGTCAGTGGTGCTGCGATCGTGCCGAAGTGCTGAATAAAACGCCGGTAGTAACCGGCCAAGCCGAGGAAGCCCCTGAGGCCTCGGGCCGACCGCGGCTGTGGCCATGTCTGGACGGCGCCCACTTTGGTTGAGTCCATGGCGACACCGGCCGGTGTAATCACATGTCCCAAGTACTGTATGGAGGAGGTTGCGAAAGCACACTTGGATCGCTTCAGGTGCAGCCGGTGTTCCCTCAGCACGTCCAGGACAGCGCGCAGGTGAAGTAGGTGCTCTATCCAGGAGCTGTTGTATATTAAGATGTCATCGAAAAAGACTAGCACACAGCGGTGCAGGAACGGCTTCAAGATGAAGTTCACGAGGGCCTGGAAAGTGGATGGCGCATTTGACAATCCGAACGGCATCACCAGAAACTCAAAATGGCCATGATGCGTCCGGAACGCCGTCTTTGGTACGTCGTCCGCGTGAACCCGAACCTGGTGATATCCGGACCTCAGATTGAGCTTTGTGAAAAATTTGGCGCCATGGAGCTCATCCAACAGCTCCTCGACCACTGGGATGGGGAATTTATCCTTGACCGTGGCTGCATTGAGCGCTCTATAATCAACACAAAAGCGCCACGTTGCATCTGCTTTCTTGACCAGCAGAACGGGTGCCGAGAAAGGTGATGTGCTGGGCCTGATGATGCCTTGGCAGAGCATGGTGTTGCACTATGCTTCGAGTTCATCCTTTTGAAGCTGCGGATACCTGTACGGACGCACTGCCACCGGTTCTGTTGCGAGTTTGAGGTGGATCCGGTGGTCACAGGGCCTCGTCGGCGGTAGGCCGACTGGCTCAGCGAACACATCGCTGTAGGAGTCCAGGAGGCGGTCCAGGAGGATGGACTCCTCCAGCTGAGAGGTAGCCCGTGCGGCATGTAGACGACCGGTCGGCTGG